GTTCGAATCGGTTGGTAATTTGGCAAAAAAATTCCTCTTCTACGAATCACAAGAATCCCCCAAGGCATTTACAATTAGCAAGGATTTTCGTCAGAACCGAACGCGGTGAAAAGTCATACTCTGCAAAGACTGTACTAACGTCAATAAGCTTCGTACCTCTTTCCCCGCTGCGCTCTGACTCAGAACTTAATTGACGAACAAAAAAAGAGCCGAGGAGATCCAATTGACCCGGAAGCGGACATCAACGACAGTCTCGAGCTACCAGACGAGTTACTCTTGCATCTTGATCGAACGAAAAGCATGGAAATCGTGGCAGAAACGACAAAGAAAATGGTCATATGCAAATGTGTGCACGTGGAAGATGAAGAAAACGAGCGTGAAGAAGGCGTCACGTGTTCAACAGAAGCAGAGTGTAGTTTGGAACGTGAATCGTAAAGGCTTTCATAAAAGCTTTCATAAAACGTTCCGCGAATCCAGCCAGTGGCTCGTGAATTCCATGATTTCCTTTTCACTCGATCGGCGAGAAGTGTCGTATCGTATTAATTTTATTATCGCTGCGTTTGAAATAATAACCACTTTAACGATTCGAAACTGCTAAAGACTAGGTTTTTCGAGAGGAATTAACTTTAATTCCCATCCTACCAACTTTTATCCCATGTCATAAATGCTTTGAAGAGAATGTCACTTGCAAATTGAAGCTTTAACGCGTAAAATTTTTGATGGAAACTTAAATTGGAGGATTCAAAGCGGTTTACAAGAATAGCGATGGTCATTTGAATAACCGTTTGCTCGCGCAAAGTATGATAATTGACTAGCTAAATGTTCGACTCTAAGAAAATGTCTTAAATCATCAGGATATCAGAGAAAGAAGCAGAAACCGTGTCAGTAGCAGCATCAAAGCGTTCATCGGTTAACTAGCGTAGCAATTAGTCGACGTTTGGCATCGAAATGAATTAAAGCGTAACCAAGAGGGGGACAATAATAGCCCACGTGGTGGTTGCTCGCGATTATTCGGGAACTCTTCTTTGTGAAACGTAAGATAAGGGTTAACGTACAAATTCGGCCTCTCGACGAAACACACTACGCACGGTCCTCCTCTCCTGTTCGTTTTTCTTCTTTCACAATAAACGTAGAATTCGTTGAAGGTTATGAGACCTGGGGATTCAACAGGTCGCCGATCCCAAAGGTTCCCGACACCTCCTGTCATCCGCGTACCGGAGACCCCTTTTGTCTCCCAGCCGAGAAGGAGCTCCGATTTCGATCTTGCAGAACGAACGTAGCGCTACTTCTCGTACCTACTACCGTGTACTACCTACGTGCTCGAGTGGTCTACACACGTGGAGATATAAAAGACCCGTAACCAGAACGATCCAGCTTCTTCTACCTACCCTACCTACCCACCCCTCTATCCGTTTAATACCTCTGTTAGATCCCTAACGTTCGACTGGGCCACTAAAGTCTCGAATTAAATCTGAATCGATTGGAAACAGTCGTTTCCAGACGTTTTGCTAATGATCGAATGACATTTGGACGACACAGTAGGATTAATTAGATATCTCTGTTGTAGAACCCTTTGTTTGAGATACGATTCCAAGTCTATCCTCCTCCCAACAGGTGTCCAACGATCTTCTTGGTTGTTCCCGTGGCGGGATATCATTTTCAAGAAGAGAACGTCCGAAGAAAGAATCGCGTTATCAGTTAATGAATCTCCTCCCCTTCGAAAAGAACCTCGGCTCCAAGATGAGTCCTCTCTATTCTCGCGTGTATGCGTGCCCGGTTCTCCGACAATACAAGCGCGTCCGACGAATTTCGAAAAGAAGAAAATAAAAAATGATCCTGCTGGTTCGGTGGAGGAGGGTAGAAGAGAGGAGAACAGTCGTTTTCTCTTCTCTTCTATCGTTCGCATTTGCCTGGCTCGTCGTTCGTCCGACTGTCCGTCTTCTCTTTTCATCCTTCCTGCCTTTTATCCGGCTCGAATGATTAATGGGTTCACGGAGGCATCGCTGTCCTCCACCCCACTGTGTGCCCTCTGCTGCACCACCAACAGCACACGCGGCTTTTCTGCTTTTCTTCGCGCCGGATTAACCCACCTTTCTCTTTATATTCCGTTGCTGCTCGCTCTTCCTTCGATCGCACCCCCGCTGAATCCTACGTCTCGCGAGATCGCATCGTAAAGATTAAGAAACTTTATCGATTATCTACTCATTTTTTCTTCTTCTTCGGTAACTGATTTTCTAAGTATTCTATGACTTCAACTTTCAACTCGTTTTCTTCTTTCAATTATAAAATATTTTAGAAAGCTAAAGAACCTCTGGTCGAAAATAGGAACTACCTGATCAATTATTACATAAACGAGCATGCCTTTTCTAGGCTAACCCGTGTCGTTAATATATTCCTGGCGGAAGAATCGGATACACAAGTATATATTCGTTCATCCGACGAACGTCAAGGTTCATAGAAAAGACAGACGTCCGTACAGACCGAAGAAACCAGACGGTGTTCCTTTTTTCATCTTCTCCCCTCTTCGTCGAACGATTCATCGACGACACGCGGTTTCTGTTCGAGTCGCTTTTACATGATAAATTATGCGTGATTTTTTCTTCTTCTTCTTCTTCTTCTTCTTGCCGTATCAATCCTGACGATACAACGCAACGAATAGAAGCGGCCTTTTGTTCCAGGTGCCGGTGTTGCATGTAGGTGGTGAAACCGGTGGGAGACAACGATGGAGGCGAAACAACGTGGAACTCGAAGAAAACGCGAAACGTCTTATTTTCTTCTTACTCTATCGTGTTCCACGGGTTTTCGCTTCGGCTCGGATATAAAACGAGAATCGATGTCGCCACCTTTGCTCAGTCAGAAACTGTTCAACAGTCTAATGAATGTGATTTCAGGTCACCGACGTCCATTCACTGAACATCACTGTCTCTCGAGTACCAGTTCCTTGGAATTCAGACTGATGATTCTTCGCGTAGAAGTTTCTTTTTTCCATCAGCTGAATCCCCGATCACGGGAATAACCCATTGTTGAATGACCTTCTGGGTTATGATAGATTTCTACCAATCTGTTATTTTCCAAATACGTTATTCATCTTTTAAAATTAAAGTCCCTGATAATTGCTTAGTAATTTAACGTTGATTGGTTAACGTCGAAGAAACACGTGTTCCAGTTAAACAGGAAGAAAGAAGGAATGCGGGTCAGCAAGATTCCTAATTCCTGATAAAAATGAAAGAGAGAAAGATAGATGCTTGCTCTGTTACGAGGCATATCGCATTCGATTTCACGCGGTCAGTTTTCTGGTAATTGGCAGGATGGCGAGCAACGAGCATGAGTTTAATCGAATCCGAAAGAGATTATTCTTCGAGCAGGCCAGCGACAAAGGCCATTTGACAAAGTGTAGTACAACGACGAAAGACTCAATCGAGTAACAATGGAGCTGTGCCACGAAAGCCCGTTAGGGTCCTTTTACATCGACGTAAGGTTAACTTACATAATGTATGAATATTGAGCGAGGAGAGGCAGCTCGAAACGATGAGTCACATACAGGGAATTCGACGTCGCGAGTTCAAATCCGATGATCGACACCTCATCCGTCGCTTTTTATTCACAATTGATCATTAAATAGTTGATGTAAAAATTCGTGAAATGAACAAAATCTTGATAATATGGAATGGATCCGTATATTAAAAGAAGAAACCCCGATTCGTCGGAGGAACGCGTTGATCCAGCAAACGACTTTGGCTATGAATCAATCAAAAGCTGTCTGAAAGGTAATTCAAAAAGCTGGACAACAGGTATGTTGAAGAGGAACGGCAAGGAAGAATAGTGAAATTGACTCGTTAGTTAGTAGAGGCGTTCACGATACAATAGAATTCGTGAGAGTGTCAACCCACGCGAGACGCAGCGGCGGCGGCGGCGGCGGCGGTAAACGGGAAACGATGACGCTAGCTGATCTCAAAGGCATCCATCGATCGCGAGGCAGTCAACGGTTCGCGCAGACCGACCGACTTTATGAGTTATAAGTCGGCCATCTTGCCAGAGCCATCGCATATTCACGTGCGCGCATATGCGATGCACTGGCAATATGTAAGTGCCACATTCTGTTCTGGTGCACACGTACAGTCTAATCTGAAAATTACGTACTCGCTGCGTTCGTGACTCGTTCGCGTTCAATACGTTGCGAATTCAAACAGAACCGACACACGATTCCGAACTATACCTTTCCGAAGCTTTTAAACTTTCAGCCTCCAAGTCTTTCGAAAAACGATAAATTGCCAGTCGTTACGATAAGAGGAACAATGAATCTTTCAACGAATCGTTCAAACTAGACGACTCGGTTAATTTCTCATCAACTTCCAGTCAATTTTTCTCCGGTTATCGATAAAGTGTCATTAAAATCTAAGGTCACCGGCGATGGTTCGTACAAGAATTGATTTTACGCCAAGTGTAATTACGATTTCGAACCAGTTACGATTGTCAATTGTTCCTAGTCCAACCCCGAATTCTATGCCAACCAATCGTCCGGTTCGCGTTGGTTGGCTCGGCTAACGATTTCGTCGAATGCCACGAGCCGCTTCTAATTTCTCTTCAACGAAGAATCGCTCGCGAATCCTGCCGCGAATAATAACGATTCGAGGAACCTGACACGGCCACGGTATTCGCTAGGGATCCTTGAAAATCCAGGATCCGTTCCATAGGGGCGACCGGTGTCTTTTTCTCTTTTTCTGCCACCAAGTACCGCCCACGCGTTAATAGCTTTTAGCTCGACCAGAGGACGAACTTCTGAGTATTCTTTGCCTCGACCGGTTATTAACAACTGTTAGCCTGGTTGTCTCTAATTACTCTCTAGCTGGATCTCTAAATTGAAAATTAGTTCAACAGGAAAGTGTAAAGATACTTCCAACGGAGGCTCGATTGTAAATATTAAAACTGGTTCGATTTCGTAATTCCTAATTGTTATAAATTTATCGAATAAAGTTATCAATGAAAGTTTCGAGACTCACCGTGAGGATGACCAGTCGCCGGGTTCAGGAAGGTCGGCGGTAGCTGTCTGCTCACCGACTTGGCCAATTCTCCTCCCGCCAATCCGTAGATCGCCAACAGCTCCTGCATCGTCGATTCAGCGTACTCCCTCATTCCCTCGAAAGGTTTCCTCTCCTCGCACTCCGTCTCGCCGTCTACCTCTTGTCCCCGATCATCGTCGAAGGTGGTATCGTCTAAACGACCCGATTCCGTATCCAGCACACCGCTACCGCTCTTGTCCGAGGAGTCAGAGTTCGGACTCCTAGCCTGGACATTTAAAACATCCAACTGAATCGATCAACTAAACGACCGGTAATGATAAAGAAAAGAAAAAAGGCACGTACCTCGGTACCAGGTGAGTAAAGCTTCTGAGACCTGAGTTGTTCCAGGATGAACTTATGCCTGAGGGAATCACCGCTGTCGTCGTCGGCTTCTGACGACGGCGGTCTCGTGTTAGTCACGGACAAGTCCATAGGACTGACCTCGTTGTTATTCAATCGTTGTTTAGACCTTTCCTCGGCTGGCAACAACATGGTCTTCCTCTCGTACTCCAATATCTCGCTGGAACTTTCCTCCATCGCCTCCAGCTCTTCGTCCTCCTTCTCAGACTCGTCCGACACCTCGACCATTCGGCTGCTGATCGGTTTAAAGTTCTTGCGTTTGTTTCGCGGCTTTTGCATGCTCGTGATCTGCAGCTGGGCCTGAGTCTCGTACTGGGAGTCGCTGTCCTGATCGGCGGTCCCTCGTCGGGGCGTCGCGTAGTTGTACACCGAATCGGAAAGCATCTCCGCTGATGGAAATGAACCGGCATCAGACCGTTAAACTTCCTGCGACGGGCCTGCTTTACTTTTTTTCTTTATATTCTTTTATCGTACTGTTAACGATCGTCGAGGGCCTGCTAGAAGACCAGCCTCAACTCTCGTCCTAGCCCACGTGTCCCGTTCGAGCACAACAAATCCCATGGAAGACGACCAGCTATTCCCTCGAATCGACCGATTCCAACTGAACGCGTATCGCTGACGAGTACGCGAGGTCCGCTCGCTTCTCGCAAATCAATTTTTAACATTAATTAGAATTCAGCCGGTACGCACGTTAATTGAACGTTCTTGGAATCGTTAGAAGAGATCCGCGCGCGCGGCTATTATGATTCGATAAAATGGAACGAACGAGCACGACTGACGCAAACACGAGTTGTCTACGTTTTCTCGGTAAACAACGGTAACGGCGGTTGGATCGGTGATGTTTTAGAAAAGGAAGTGTCTTACTGGGGCCATACGGGCTCGTTACGGCGGACATCTCGAATCTCCTGAACCGGCCGGCTCCTCAATGCATCCTGAAACAAAAATATTCAACGATCCGTCAGATTCAAGTTTTCTATGGTTGATTTCGCGATGGGTGGGTGCGAGAGTGCAGGTTGTCGTAGGTTCGAGGAAACCCCCAACGATCGGGCTGTTACGTTATCCAGCACTTGGAAGGAGAGGCGAAAACAGGGCGAAGACAAAGGCACGTCGTTGTAACAAAAGCTACCTTGATATACGAGCGGTGCTCGGTCAGCCAAGCAGACGGTCCGCGATAACGCGCGACGAGGGACAATTTGTTTCTCGGTTAGCAAAACGGCTCGTTTCATCGCGTCTCCGCGCTTCCCTGAATCTACTAGCTAAAAGGGCTGGTAACTTCATTGCAACGATCGTTCGCGAACGAAGGAAATTCAACTAGATTTAACGCGTTTAACTCCTTCGTCGCGATCGCCAATTGGAAACAATCCTGTCTACAAGGTGCAAGAACCGAGTTGATTCCAACTCTTACACCAATTCTTTTCTTTCTTAACCCATGTTCAATCATTTGTCCAAGTTTGCTCTCGCGAACCAGTCGATTCAATCGGACTCGGACCACTCTCTCGATGGCATCCGAAACTCGCTGCCTAATTCGGCCAGAAAATCGTTAGTTCCGTTTTTGCACGGTTCATTATCGGTTATTTATTTCCGCAGTAAAACTGGCCCATTAAGGGCCCCGGGACGAATATGGCGTCGCTGTCGTTCAGCTGCGCGACAAGAAATCATTTTCCCCCGATACCACCTTCAAATACCATTCCCTCGATCCATGACAAAAATGTGTTCCGATCTAATGCGTCTCGGCAACCATATTCCCTGGATCGATTATAATTTAATCAACGAGATCAATTTCGAATTCGAGGCGATATCGAAAATGATCGATTAAGGGATGTTATTCGCGTTGACAACTGGACAGGGTTCGATCCTAAGGTTCCAGCAAATTTCCCTAGCGTGTCCGTCTTGGCGGAAGTGGAAGGTGATTGGAGCATGCGCTCTAGTTTCGATGGGAGGACAGAAGAGAGTTTGCTCGTGTCGGGGATGTAGAAGAGTGGACGATATGTCCGAGCGAGAGCGGGCTCTTTTTTTGCCGACTATACACAGAAGGGATAATTAACATCTGTTACAGTACGTATACCGAGCGGGCCGCCCCGTTTCACCCCCACCAGCGGCAACGGGGCGGACCTTGAATACATTATCACCCTGTTTGCACATGTACGTACGTACCGTACGTACACCAGCCGGTCGAATCGGAGTGCTGCATGATACGACCCTGAACAATGGAACCAGAATGTCTTTGTCGAGCAACCAAAGGAAGGGAATCTTTTGCTATTGGTGAAACGGAGTTGCCTTTTCGAAAATCTTTCCTCTTTTCATCCCCTTACTCGTAACCGAGCTACAAGAGAATTTAACGAATATTACACTTCGGATGGAAAGCGTTTCAAAGTCTGACGATTCGAAGAGGAATCTCCCGTTGAAACTAACCCCTCGAAGTCTATCATTGTCGCTGTGCGAGGATCATTCTTCGCGATTTGTTTTTTCTTGAAATTCGAGGGAAAGAGAAATTCCCGGCTTGCTGGCCTAGATTCTCAGGGTGCCGGTCGTGAACTTACCGAGAATAAAGACGGAACCGTGCATGGAAACACCCTGTGGCGGGAAACCTTGAAATTCTTCGGGCTATTATTCGAAACTCGCAAAAAACCTCGCCGCTCTTAATGATTCAATTTGAATTGAAGTAAAAACGAGCCTGATTAGGAAAAGGAGCGCAAACAATCCGTGCGTTTACGCCTGGACGATGATGAATTCAGGTCGACTACCGCGAAAGGAAGAACCGACTGGGGCTGCTTCGAGATGGCACATGGAAATTGAGACATTTTCCATAGACCTGCTCTCCTTTCTTCTACGCAACTACTACTGGCAAGTTGGAGCACGTCGTCGCATTTCTTCAACTCCCTCGAGTATGAGTACAAGAATAAAATAATACTGAAAATCCCAATTTATGTTAGCCTACTCTACTTGTTCGCTCGGTATAAGCGCTAATTAGAATAATGACTAGAACAATCATCGATTCACAACGTTCGCAGACAGCATCGTTCCTCTGGAATATCATGATGATTTTTTTTCAGTAAATCATCTCTTTTAGAGCTAAATGATCGCTGTCACTGGTCCCGGAGCTACGTAGAAGAAACAGTTGAAAGAGTCAAGATCCGATCAGGAGAGAAATTGAGTCGAAACAGGGACAACAGGGCGTGTTCCCGTCCCCCGGGAACCGAACAAAGGTCAACGTTCTCGGACAAAAGGATCATTAAGAAGGAGAAACGATCGAAGCACGAATTCTGGCAACGCGAACGAAAGGAAAAGAGACAGCAGTTGGCTCCGTGAGAGGCCAGCACCACCACTCGACATAGCTCGACGCTGATGCCGATACCAGAAGCGGGAAAACAAAAAAGCAGACGACGTAACGCGTTCGTTTGTCAAACACTTGAATATAATGTTGCCAGGCCTGTGTTTGGATGGGCCTCGTGGCTTTTCAAGTGTCTGCCGGAATACCGGTAGATTATTCAAATTCGCCAGGGACTTAAGGCTTAAAATATGTGTTGCTTATCGGAGATGCCACACGTTTCCTGTTCGAGTGCTTCGTTAAGGGAATCGATGCATCCTCCGTCTCGTCGTGATTCCTCTTGCAGCCTTGATTTTCAATTTTCCAGAAAATATACCTGGAAATTCCTATTCTATTCGTCGAAGAATCATCCAGACTAAGTTACTTTGAAATCTCAAGGATGCTTCGCTTTGAAACCTACTTTTTTTTTTAATCCTGACAAGAATCCAGAACCTTTCAACGTCGTAGGATCAAAGCTTCGACTGAAAGATCACTGTTATCTCACCGTTTCTAAAGTCACTGTACAAGCTACCATATCGCTAAACTGCTGACATCAATCATCTCTCCATTGGCCGGCCACGTTCAAACGGTATTCAAAGCTGTCTGTACAGCATCCACGCGGACGGACAAGTGAAACAATCCTTCGAGAGAAGAAAAAGTCCTTAACCCGCGAGAACCTCGAATTCGAAAGCGACTCGTATAATTTTACAAATATGTAGAATGAAATTTTATCCCTAACGAGTAGTATTAGAAACTAGTTAAAATTCGTGAGTATACACAGGTAGATTGAAATTGCTTGCATCCCTTGATTTGGCTGGGTGTTCACGTGGTAAACAGGAGCGCATAGGTGGCAACGAGGAGGAAGGAAGAAGCAGAAGAGGCTACCGGGTTAGAAAGAGGGCGAGTGTGTTCATAAGATATGGTGTGAAACACGAGAGGGTCGAGATTAAAGAATGAAAAACATAGAATTCTGAGAACTGGTTGAAGTCATAATATTCGTAATTTCAAGCTGCGCCTTGTGGCGACCGTCTTCTGCGTCGTTGAAATTAATGTGAGCGGAAATAAAATTCCCTCCGCCTCCTCGCACGTTTCACTCCCTTTCCTTCGCTTCTCTTCTCTTCTCTTCTCCTCCATTCCTCTTGTTCTCGCTTTTCTCCGTTTTTGCCGCGCCATTGCCACTGGAGAATGTTTGAAACGGTCGAGGAGCCTGCAAATAAATTCGCAGTCGCCCCGAGCTACTATGTTTGCCTGGGATTCTTGAATTTCCCTGGTGTCCGTCTGACGGATAAACCGGTGGCATCGAAAACCGGGGAAATTCAGCGAAATCATCCCCCCGAACGGTGTTCGATTGAAACACGAGGCGAAAAGATGAAGAAAGGAAGGTAATAGAAGCGGAGGAGGTTGGACGTTTCGAAGAGAAGACGTGTCTCGTTTACGGGGATTAGGATAAAGCTTCGTCTCGTAGTAGGTTGCCTTCTTCGTTTATCCTTTTCTCTTCTGGTCAACTGGGCTTTTTATCCAGTTCAACTTTCTTTCTCTCGTTCCTCATGGTCCATTCTCTGGCCTCTGTGTGTACGGTGTTCCACGTAAAACGGCTGGAACGCCGGCGGCGCGCCGTTAAAAATAGAGCACGCAACGACTTACTAATCTGGTTAGGGCTACTTAGCGTAACTCCAACTATTTAGACCTGGATACGGTTACGGTAGTTAGGCCGCCTCTATCGGCTCTAAGTAGACCCAACGGGTGCCACGGTTCTCCTCCTCATCTTTCTCTTCCTTATCCTCCTCTCTCCATCTTCTTTTTCTTCCTCTTAGTTTCACGAAACGCGCTAAAACGTCTTAATGGCTGCTCGTGCGGAAAAACGCGACCAAGCTTCACTACTGTTCCTTCGCTACTCTTCTTCTTTTTTTTTTTTCTTCTCCTTCCTTTTGCTCGTTCGGTTATTTCTTCCAGAACAGACGATTAAAACAGCTTCGACGACGCGTGGAATGTGAAAATTGAACCCTTTCACGGTTCAAACAAGTCTACCTGTTTTCGTTTCTCATTTTTTCCATTCGTTTCGATTACCTACGTTTAATGAAGGCTATCGCGAGCGTCGATTAGATTTCTATACGGAGATGCAAGCTGAGAAGCTTCAAGGCTAATTAACGAGCGAGCGGCGAGTAATTAATCGATGAATGCCGAGTCCTCCTGTCCCGCGAACGAACACGAAGACGTAGGAGAACTTCCTCCCACGAGAAACACCATTCCCTTCGCTACTAAATGCACACAACACATTTGGATATCGTTCTGCAAAAATTTATTTTACGACCTGTGAAACGAGGCTATGATTGCTAAATTGATACCATGAAAAATCATTAAAATTTCAACAGCCCGTTTTAATCACCGAACGTCGAATGATTTGCGAATGTTAACTTATCCCTAAGAGTCAACATCGTAAATGGTACGTGGCATATTTTACTTACAGACGCTAATGAGTTAAACATATTACGTTGGTTACCTAAATCCACAACTCGCCTAAAGAGCCAACACCTCGTTTACCTCCCGCAAGAAAAACAAACGAAAGAAAAAGGAAAGCCATCACGTTCGCTTCAATTTGCCAGCCACGGGGAAAATAAAAACGGT